TCAGGGAGCCGACGGGGCTCCCCTCAGAAAACAATGGAGGCATCGATTTTTCAGCATTTTGTGCAAGTGGCAGTTTGTTGTTATTATTATTACCGGGAGTCAGCAGCATGCAACAACTTGCATATTCACCAAATCTTGCTGATAAACACACACAGGAAAATATGTCAATGATAAACAAAGACTCATTCTGCAGTCACAAAGTGAACTCTTGACCTACATTATCTCCTCAATATTGACTTTCCTCGTGCACATAGTATCATAATATACGGGCACCATTATACGCCAATATAGCAACAGTACTCCAGAAGGTAAAACAAATTCCCCATACACCTTAATACAATCCCATCCTCTTTCCCATACAACTTGCTGTTTCTAATTATATGCACTAATTTTACACGTTAAGTAGCCAATTTTATTACAATATTTTTAGTATCTTTGATGTTTTTTATTAACTATATTAGATAAATCCAAATGATAAATTATGCAATGTTCATCATGCTCACCTAGCACCATTATTTTTATGATCTATAGAAATGATCTATACAAACCCCAGTTTGTATAGGGATCTATTCGATCTCCAGTTCTGAATTAGCTTTTGTATACTACTCACAATAAATTCATGAATTCAAATGCTAATTCATTATGAGGTACAGTATTAATACATTCTTAGAATGCTATCTACAGTACAGTAAACTGAAAGATGTTGCATGCTCTCAAGCAGCAATAATTCATCATTTCCCACGACTCATCATTACACACATTGGAATGCAAGTAAATCACATCTATACAAAAAATCAAAACTAGTATAAAATCTTAATAACTATAACATAATCCTCAACAAAATTTCTGGCTCATGATATGGGTTTACAAAAATCTTACAATAACACCCGAGTCGATCTACCACCTTACAAATACAACTTCATATCAAAATCTAATACTTTGATTGGATTCTATTCCATCCTCTAGATAAAGACCCCCTTCCTTCAAAATCACATGTCCATACATTGTTAAACACTGCAGAGGTAGGGATCAACTGGCACTGTCTACATATTAAGTCGAAAAGTGTCGCACGTGAATAACAATCGGCATCAGTGGTTCAGGCATTGAGAACACTAATTGTGTTACTTGTACATCACAACAATGACTCAACTCTGCACAGAATTTTGTGCTGGTGAAGAGCAATGTGTCAAAACAAGTTTACGTATCAGTAAGTAGGTCGAGATGGACAGTGGAGATGAGCACAAATATACAAACCTTCTTATCTTTTAAAACATGATGTCTGGTAAACAAATCCACAAGGGCCATGACGAGGATTCGAACCTGCGTCCGGGAGCATCCCAGACACTGCCTTAATCGACTGAGCTACGACAGGCTCAGGCTTTACCCTGTTGTAGCTCAGTCGATTAAGGCAGTGTCTAGGATGCTCCCGGACGCAGGTTCGAATCCTCGTCACGGCCCTTGTGGATTTGTTCATTTGATGCATCACGTTAGTGTGATCTCTGTGTGTGATGATGTCTGGTATGTGGTTATGCATGACTGTATTGATATAGAGGCTTTTATGCTATATCCACAGGAAGAGGTGTTACTGGTGACCTGATTAAGGGGCCAGGAAATGAACAAATATTCAAATTATGTGAAAATTATTAATAAATGTTAAACAAATCTCCAACTTATTGACTTCAGCATCATGAAAGTTTCATCCCAAAATTTTCAGAAATAGATTTTTCACGATTTAAAAAAATAAAAAAAAATTTGCTGATAAAGAGAACAGCTCCTATTAACTGGAACTGAGGAATAATGCAGTAATAAAGAGATGCAAGCACCTGTCCGACACACAAAGAAGAAGAAGAAGAAGAGTAGTAAGAAGTGCCCATAAAGTGGCTATGCAGCTGGTGCCTGTATAGCATTGCTGAGAAATACATAATAAAACAAATAATAATGAGTACATTATTATGCTTTATTTTGTTAAAAAGTCTAAGAGGTTACAAATCTAAACAAGATGGCTTTCAAGTCCATACTATGTGAGACCTATGTGAGACCATTACTTGAGTATGCAGCACCAGCATGAAAGCCACACCTTGTGAAGAATAAACTGAAACTTTAGACAGTTCAGAGTTTTGTAACTTGATTAGTACCAAAATTGAGAGGCCTTAGCTTTGAGGACAGGTGGTGAGAACTCACCCTCACAACCTTAGTAAGAGGAAACAAAGGGGGGATATGATAACTACATACAAGATCTCAAAGGGGAATAGATAAAGAGGATAAAGGAAGCTTATTTTAATTAAAAAAGAGGTATGTCGAGGAAAAGTAGTTGTAACTGGACACACAATTGAGTAAAAGATGTAAGGAAGTTCTCAATTCCTGTACGGATGGTTGGCAAGTGAATTGCATTGAAGGAATAGGTTGTTGAAGTCAATTCGATCCACAACTTAAAAAAAAAAAATATTGCCGAGAGGTACAGTAATTAGCATGGCAGGTACAAAAGGCTAGGCGACAGGGCATATAGAGCCAGCTCTTACTTCCCATAGTCTCGGATAGGTAAGCATCACATTATACCTTACTTAATATGACTCAAATGATTTTCAGTGCATGTTATTGCTCCCATGCATAACATCATGTTTTAAACGAGATACATATTTATGATTACTTCACTTGTCCGTCCAAGTTCACTAATCATTCATAAACAAATTACCGATACACTAACTTCTAACAGTATATTCCAATACCGTGTTCGTCATGAGGCAAACCAAATCACTAGAACCATTAGTACAGTTCACTACTCATATCTGACAATGCTGACGTAAGATGTACAGAGCACCAATTGACCCCTTCTGTCACAATGTTTACATACAACACATGGCAACACGTCACATGTAAGCAGTCTATTAGTGGATTTAGTGCTATAAAATACATTATGCTCTACAATGGTAAAAAAAAATGAAACATCTAGTCAATATTACCACTATAAAATCTCCTCTCCCTTACTCAGGAATGTGACCAAAATATTAAAAATATGATGTAACTAAATATATATAAAAACATCTTCAGTGAATTTTAATACACCTGTTTCCCATTGAGTGAAGAATGTGAACACATTGATTCTCACACTGTGGGATAGCCTGGTACAGTTTAAAAGAGTATGACAAAATATGAGCAAAAGAAACTAGTGAAATTTCACTAATTTCACTAGCAACTAGTAAATTTTCACTTTTCAGGGTTAAACTCTGAAAAGAATGCATTCTCCATTGCCCAGGATAAGATAATATTTGCCCACCCTAATCCCTGGTCACATCCTTCTCTGGCGTCGAGAGAGCTACACCAAGACCTTGCCTCTGGTTATTGGAGCGGCGTCAGGTCCTCTCAGGACTTTGTAGATTGCCATCTACTCTACAACACATACGGTACTTGCAAAATCATGCACAGCTGTAAACACATACACAGATCATGCAGTGTTAAGTCACCAGCCACCACGTAAGTATCTACTGCACTATAAGCTAAGACATACTATAATCTACATTTAGTGAAGCAAAACCTTCACACGACTCCTGAATGTCACACTAATGATTAGCTAAGAAAGGCTATGTTCCTATTGCTTCACTAAATTTAGGAAGTGAAGAACAACAGACGTTATACATTTAATCAGGAAAACTACCCCATGTCTAAACAGTCATAATGTCATAACCTTAGACTGTTTAATATGACCCAGTTCTAAGCATGCAATTTAACCGAAATTAAAATACTACATAAAAACATACAAAATGTATTAACAGTCACACCACCCAGCAGCAGCATATACTGTAAGTTCAGGAGATAAATTCACACCGTTCAAATCCATAAATCACTAAATATGGTACTAAATATTATATTTGTCAACATCAGTGTTATTTGGGTTGTGAATGACTTTACAGTGATCCTCTCCAGTTATGATCTACTCTTCATTGCTCTTGACCTTTCTTAACAAATCTGCTTACCTTCTTTCCAGTTAACAATCATCTTCAAAGTACTCCAGAGTCTTTCCATAAAAATGACAACCTGTTTTAGTATATATTTGCTAGTTGTTGTAACAAGCTACTGTTTTCTACTGACTCTGCTTCTTCAAGAGGCTCAAGCAAATTTGTCTTAATTATATACAGTACCAGAATTCACACAAATCAAATTTATAATGGAACATTCAAATTTGCTAGTGTTTGCTTTGATCATGTGGGTCTCTTCCAATATAATCTAGGTCTAGTAGTTTTTGTGTCACTGAATTATTATAATTGAATTACTTGAGTTAGGTCATATTAAGCAATCACAGATAAATATAGTTTAAGTCAGAACAATTGATAACGTGCTTAACACAAGCTTGACATAAGCTATTCTTCACCACCTTCATCTAGATAAAACCCCTCAATATGTAGACTGGTAAGCAGAGGCTAACAAGAGGTTCATCAGAGATAAAAACAGAAGTAGGACATTGAGAATATTTATATACAACTTTGAGAAGTTCTTCAGTTGCCCCCAGTGCCATTGGGGGCAACTGGGGGCAGTATCCTAACATGATATCCATGTTAGGATATTTCTAATTTGATTACTTCAGGAGACAGGTAGAGACAAAGGTCTAAGCTCATGAGTCTGCCAAATGATATAATTTGTCTGCAAAATAACAAGAGCACTGGCTTGTAGCAGGAACATTTAACTGTATGTGTAAACTAACCCTTAAATATGGACAGAGTGCAGGCATATACAGTATAAAAACTATACAAATGTATAATTTGAGAGAGAGAGAGAGAAAGAGTAAAAATTGTTGTCCCTAAATGTAGTTATGGTAAAAATTCTTTATAAAAATATCATAAAAGGAAAATGTATATTTTCTTCTCATACTGAAAAAAGTTGGCCTCTTATTCTCTATTCCTTGAAATTCTATTCTACATTAAATACTAGTATAATCTAATAGCAAAAGAGATTCTTATTTCATCTTGTAACTTCAATTTCTTCTAGCTGTTCAGATAAGGAATTACCTTCGTCTGGAGAGCTGTAATTTTATGGTCCTTCTCCTCCAAGTCACTACGAAGTTCCTGTTCCAGGTGAGCTTTTGCCTGCTGCTCCAGCGCACATTGCTCCTTCAGCTCACTAACCTATGCATTACAAATCACACAAAGTTAGCATGTTAAAGGTGTCCTAAGCCCATTGTTGTAAAACAAACTGCAAAGCTCCACCACCTAGTGGTTGTAGGGTTACTGGTTAATATTTAAAAATACTTGCAAAACCCCTCACTGGTTCTTATTAGTGATCATCTTGGTAACACCAACAACAGATAAGTAAAGATAATTTCAACAAATACAATTTTACAATTCTCAATGAAAAAAATGATAATGACAAGTTATCCCAAGTGTAAGTGTTGAAAGGGTAGAACAAAGCCCGACTGACTATGTACTTGTGTAAACAAGTAAACTACCATATATCAAATATGCAGTATATATGATTCAGGTGATAAGTGGAATATCTTGAGAATTACTGAATAATACAATAGCAAAATTGGTCTCATTGTATTATTCAGTATGACAAGGAAAGGTTCATAAAGATTTTGAGGTTTTATGATTGAACTACTTTTGGTCATTCTGAATTGGATTGAATTGTCTCCTATGACCCCCCTAAAACCCTTCAAGGGATTCCGCATGAAACGTTTTAAAAGTTTTCTGTGGTATAAGTACCATAATGTCGCAAAAAGTCACAACTGCATGATCCTGTCCTTTAGAGATTACCCTAGTGACCATCCAAATCAGCATAGAACAAAAAAGACAATTTAGAATGTGGGCACAGGAATGTAATGGAAGGAATTGCAGTAATTCCCTAATTGCATTTAGTAAGCACCAATTATCTTTATGATTTTTCAACCTCACATTGTTAACTGAATCATAATGAAATAGCATATACTGCACTGTACGTTTAACTCCAGTAAGCCATATTCTGATCTTGATACTAAATCACTGAATGTATAATGATCCATTTGAATATGAAATAAAATGCTCACCTGCTCTTATACTATATGTTTTCAAAACAATTCTATCGCCACAGCTCCTACTGACAATGAAGTAGAGAACTAACATAATATATAACACATCTTCTTGAGGTTATCTTGAGATGATTTCAGGACTTAGCATCCCTGCGGCCCGGTCCTCAATTAGGCCTCTTTTTTTTTTTTTTTGTTACCCAACCCCAGAAAACAGCCCATAGTAGCTGTCTAACTCCCAGGTACCTATTTACTGCTAGGTGAACAGAGGGCATCAGGGTGAAAGAAACTCTGCCCATTTGTTTCTGCCTCCACCGGGAATCGAGCCCAGAACCTCAGTACTATGAATCCCGAGTGCTGTCCCCTCGGCTGTCAGGCCCACATATTATCAGTATTAGTGCAAAAAGTTAGCACACACACACAATCAAGTGTAAGCACTGAAAACTACCTATAAATAAGAAGTTATTCACTTACTTTACGCAGAGCCTTGTCCTGTGTCTTCGTGAGTACATCACGCAATTTCTCGGACTCTTTTTCTTTATCTTTATACGCCCGAGCCAAGTCAGAGTACCTGCAACATTTATTTTCCCGCATGATTTCAAAACCGATCAGCATGAGTTATATGTTTGTATATAGATAACAAGATTATTAAAGTAACATAGTTAACATGCAAAACACTACCAACAAAAATGTATGCTAAGAATATCTATTAAAATAAGGTAAATATTAGCCATTTACAAAAGAATTTAAAATTAAAACAAATTTTTATTTACATATATATATTAAAAATAACATTATGCTATTTTACTTAATTCTATGAAAAAACATTAGTATGTATAGCCACTATTTACAGTATTATTATGTTTAGCAACTACATGTCAAGGACTCTCTGAATGCAATAATTGGACTACTTTGTTTTGTTTTGTTTTGGTATTTGTTGATATGCTGAACAGTACTGCACTGTTGTTGTGTTGATTTAGGGGCGACGACGATCGTGGGATCGGATGCGCCCGAGTACTGCACTGTTGTTGTGTTGATTTAGGGGCGACGACGATCGTGGGATCGGATGCGCCCGAGTACTGCACTGTTGTTGTGTTGATTTAGGGGCGACGACGATCGTGGGATCGGATGTGCCCGAGTACTGCACTGTTGTTGTGTTGATTTAGGGGCGACGACGATCGTGGGATCGGATGCGCCCGAGTACTGCACTGTTGTTGTGTTGATTTAGGGGCGACGACGATCGTGGGATCGGATGTGCCCGAGTACTGCACTGTTGTTGTGTTGATTTAGGGGCGACGACGATCGTGGGATCGGATGTGCCCGAGTACTGCACTGTTGTTGTGTTGATTTAGGGGCGACGACGATCGTGGGATCGGATGTGCCCGAGTACTGCACTGTTGTTGTGTTGATTTAGGGGCGACGACGATCGTGGGATCGGATGTGCCCGAGTACTGCACTGTTGTTGTGTTGATTTAGGGGCGACGACGATCGTGGGATCGGATGCGCCCGAGTACTGCACTGTTGTTGTGTTGATTTAGGGGCGACGACGATCGTGGGATCGGATGCGCCCGAGTACTGCACTGTTGTTGTGTTGATTTAGGGGCGACGACGATCGTGGGATCGGATGCGCTCGAGTACTGCACTGTTGTTGTGTTGATTTAGGGGCGACGACGATCGTGGGATCGTGCGCCCGAGTGCACTGTTGTTGTGTTGATTTAGGGGCGACGACGATCGTGGGATCGGATGTGCCCGAGTACTGCACTGTTGTTGTGTTGATTTAGGGGCGACGACGATCGTGGGATCGGATGCGCCCGAGTACTGCACTGTGGAAGGTACCGAGTAGTGTGCTGTTCCCTTTGTTGATGAGCGCTCGGCCATCTGGCTCAACACATCACATGTTCTTGACCAGATCAAAATTTGCTGTAATACTCATTTATCTTGCTGTATGTGTTATCTGTTTTCTTTGTTTCTATAGTTGGATTTTCATATATTCATATAAAATATTAAATAAACTTCATGGTGTATTATGGTAGAAATGAGAACTGAGCAAGTGTCATTCAGAAGCATAAATCTACCTTTTCTTCAAGAAACCTGGAAGACGATTGAGAGCTCCTTGTTGTACCTAGTCATGGGGGTTGCCACTGAACACATTCACAAATAATTATAACTCCCCCCCCCCCCACACACACACACACAAAATAAGAATTTTTGTATAGAAAATAATGTGTGTAAATTTGACGGGGGCAGTCACTGGTTTCTTTTTATCTTGCAAATTATGAAAAGTACACTTACAATTATCAGTTATCCTTCATTTTCTTTGGAGAGTATTGCCACACATTAAAGTATTTTTTAGAGCTATTTAGTTAATTTTCATATATATTTTTTTTTATCCATTTTCTTTGTGGCGGACCAGATGAGCCCATTGACCGTTATACTGTACAGTACTGTTTAGTATTATCTCCTGTTCCTTCATGCCCATTAATAGTTATACAGAACAGAGGCTACAGTTAAGGATTGGCACCCAGTCAATCCTCCTCAGTCAGGATACAAACCCAGGCCAAAGCGCTCGCGAAGCTCTGTGCAAGTGCATTACAACTATGCCACGGGGACTGTATACAGTACAGTACTGTTTAATATTATCTCCTGTTCATTCATGTTCACTGTTACACAGCACTGTTTAGTATTTTCAAATGATTTGTTCTTTACCGGTAGATCTTTTAACAATAGCACCTAGTGCAACAAATATATAGGAAATATATATATATCAGTTTCATTAAGCAAATAATATATGGTGTTAGTATTCTAATCCTTAAGTACTATGGACACTGATCAAACTTGGCTTAAAACTTATGATGTACAGTAAATGAAAAGGAAGCCTTAGCATTATTTGAGTTCAGGTTTCCCAAAAGTCAATCTTTATCTTATACAGTATATCATTTTTTTTAACAATGATATAATGCATCATTATTAGTTTAACCAAACTAAAATCACACTACCAAATGAACTTTTTTTTTTTTTACAGCAAACAGGTTTGTGTTTTTTATCATAAGATTTGCCAAATCCACAAGAAACAAAAAGAATATAAATATGGCTAATTTACAAAGTATTAAATAACAGGAAAACAACACAAGCAATAACAACATTCATGCTACATGCTTACGTTACTAAGTTGGGAAAAAACATGCCAAAAACTCTCATAAGTTTGCTCTTACAGTTTCCATTACTATGCAGAATCATGTCAAGTCATGCAAGGTTCTCAGTGCAAATAGCAAGAGGCTGTAGTGATGTAGAGAACTCATAGTGTTAGGTGCTTATTCCAACAGCTTATCCAGGCATAACCAGAAGACTGAGAAAGCTCAACAAAGGAGAGTAAACACACACCAACATATGAACAACCACACATCGTACCGGCCCTTGTACTTGTGATAGCGCTGACGCATCTTAAGGTACGCTTGATACACAGTGTCCTTGCTAAGCCGATCCACAACTGCTGTGTTACTACCATCCTCCCACTCACTTGAGGATTCCAAGTCACTCTGTTGAATACCAAAATTTAAAGAACAACTTCGTACCCAATCACTATAACAAATATGAGAACTTGAAAAATCAATTTTCTAACTTTTAAGTCAATAAATTCTAGCTTCAGTGTGCTGCCTAAATACCATAATTTTCACAGTAGCACATAACCTAGCATCAGGCCCTATTATTTCCCCATTTTTTCCAACAACACCAAGAGACTTGCGTGAGACACATTAATCGATCAATCTGATCACTGTTCCGCACTATAAAGGGCCTCCACCTCTCCTCCTACCCCCCTCCTCACTGTTTTCCATATGCCAACAAGAGTCATCAATAAAGGTAAGCTATAACTTGTACATACTATAGTACAAAATATGTGTGTATTACGTATGAAATGTATTTTGAAGTTAAAATTTTTGGGAGCTTGGAAAAGATTAATTCAATTTAATTTTGGAAAACAGGTTGCTAACCTAATCCCTCAACCTTTGTTTTGTACATTATACTTAGCTCATTGTACTACTTAGCGGTGGGCAGGGGATGCGTTACAGTCCTATGCTATTAGACACCCCATAACTTTTGGAACAAAAAATAACCAGCATTTTCAAAGATTGAACTACCATTACTTACTCACTCATCTCAATCCATTCAATATTTTGCTCAAGTTATTTTTTAGGGCATTAAAATATAAATAAATTACCTGTGGCATGCTAAAAGACACACCAGGAACTTCATATATGGGAAAAAGACCACTAGCATCGCTGACACAGGAGCCCGAGGAGTCCCTTCTGACTCTGTGCGCAGGACTGGTTGCCCCTATTAAAGTGGGGTCAAATGTTACTCCAGCTACCCCTTGCCCTTGACCAGGCCCCCTGCCAGGGTCAGCAGGAGCAAGAGACTCTGCATCGCTCAGGTCTACCAACTGAAATCCAGATTTGCTTGGGGAGCCTGAAAAATAAAAAGGGAATGCATCACCACATATGCCAGGCAGTGAGAGTAAAAGTACTGTACAGCTCTCTCAAAGTTGTCCACAAAAAAAAAAAAAGTCCAAAAATGATCACTGTAAAGTGATCATTTATTGATGATTTTGATTTGATTTTATAGAGAGCCATCTCTGAGATAGGTTCAGGAAGCCACAAGGGGCTTCTCCCAGAAAAACAGTGCTCTTCAAAGTATGAAGCCATAAATACACACACACATTTTACTAGGAATCCCTCTCATAATTGTTCATAAAGCTGCTGGTATATAGAGAGATACTGACACATGCAAGCACAAGCCACAACTCACCCTCATGGCTGTCTTCATCAATGCTGAAGAGATCCTTGTTGTGTCCTGCTGGCCTAATATCTGAGATGTCCACCAGAAGCTGTCACAAGACACACAACACGAAGACATCTTAATTGTTATTTAAAATTCTCCGAGTACTAAAAAATAAACAGACATTACAATTTGAATCAATCTGGCAAATGAGAGGGTTAGCAAGAGTTGCCTTGTGTGGAGGCAAGCTTTGCAGAAATATGAATATAACACTGTAGTCTAATTCACTACAGTAAGTCACTTTCCTTCCTCTCATCTCAACTTCAGTTGCATAAATTCCTCTTATATTTACACTTATTACATTAAATTCACACTTATTCATAAATTGATTGACCAATCCTAACATTTCACCATTCACATTTACAGTATTGCACTCCTAGAATTTCCTTTTCTCTTTACTTTTGTTCCCATTAATTTTCAACAGTCTTTTGTTACACACGTCAACAAAATTTTCAACTAGTCTTTATTAATCTCTATAATGCTCTGTTAAAACAACTGCATCATCTCCATTCATAAAATTTGACACACAAAACTACAATTACTCATATTAGGTCTGATTACCAGGTTCCCATTTTTCTGTAGTTTCTTATTTTGAAATCTCTCACAATTGGATGCATACCTACACTAATACAGTATCACAACAGTTACGCGTGATAATATTAACTCTTTCACATGCATTACTTCCAATACAAAACCTTTTCAAAACATTTCACACACCATCGACAACTCCATTATTGCTCACCACTCTCCATATTACTTCTTCATTAATTTTGTTAAATGCCCTCAGCACATGTTTTAAGTTTGTTAAGTTTTGCTTAAGTCTAGTACTGCTATCTTAGTTTAGTATTGCAGTCAGTTATTCAAATTCATGAGGTAATTTTATGAATAACTTTAATTATCAATGTTTATAAAGTACAGTACAGTATGTATATTTTATGAGTAGATAAATACATACCTCATCTTGCAATGATCCTGTCTGGATGTCCTTCTTGTGTTCACCTGGTGAGGTCGCTGCCCCGCTGAATGGTGACAGCTGTTAAGAGGTTGTCCACATGATTACCTTCACTTTGTACATGAACACATGCTAAAAACCACAAGTTACATATATAATAACCACATTAGAAAATAATTCATGGCTGTAATTCAAAATACAATGTTCAACTTTGAACTGCTCATTTGGTAAAAAAAAACCTGTTGAATGTAATGAAAAGCCATTTTCTGGGCGAGCCCCGGAGGCTTCCTGGAGCTATTGGACTGATATGCGATATATTAGTCTAGGGCATTAGTCAACAGAGTTCAGCCTACCAAGAACCACGAGCTAGAACCGGGCCCCACTCAGAGGCCCAGGTGGCTTGTGGTCCCCGATAAGCTGAACTCCATCCACTAATGCCCAAGACTAACACAGTACAGTATATCGCATATCAGTAATAGCTCCAGGGAGCCGAAAGGACGCCCCACAGAAAAATAAACCATCTTAAACCCTCAATATAGTATCGTGCCTCTTCAGCACCCAGGGAATCTGCTTCAATATGGAATGACTCAATGAAAGGACAAAATTAAAAGATACTGTGCATTCTACATCCAAGTTTACCTGGGATGTAGGTACCTGGGAGTTAGGTAATTGCTTTGGGGTTGCATCCTGAGAAGGGTCAGCAGTTCGACCAAGATGAAAGCCTAAAGTACAGTACTATATAATTTGCTGTTGTGCTAAAAAAGTTCACATTTTTTACTATTGAAATATGACAAGGACATGCCTAAAGGTGAAACAGTAACTATACCATCTAACCTAATCTGTCCTAGGCCTAAACAAGCAAACCTAGGCCAATCACATGCCATTTCAGGATTAATTCAGGACTAAGCCTTGCTACACAAGGCCTAGAAAAGATCAGGTTTGGGTATTGCATTCTATCTTGTGCTCTCTACCAAATTAACACAGTAGTACCAAACATGGTTTTTCAAGTGCAACAATCCATTGTTGTACATTCCACCCAAATTACTGTAGTTACTACAGGCTGTGGATGACGGTTTTGTTTATTATATCTAATAAAGATGACATGTTAGGTCAAAATGAATCTAGTCACATGAATGTTGAATTAGGAGTCTATCCACATAACATCCTAGTATAACTACAGCAAAGAGCTACATGATTACCACACATACATAAGTTAATATTTAACCCCAATTCTGATGCAATAACATTTATTTCTATTGCCACTGTATCTAAATAATATAAATGAGACTACCTGCAATGTGCATCCTATAAAAACAATAAGCAACTTATGAGACATCAAGAGATACAAAGGATACATACAAGTTGTTGGCTTTTAACTATAATACTCTCAGCCATGTCATGTTAACTGAAATAAAGTTGGGTTAATGCTAAGGCTAACCTGTTTTTACACCTTCACCAGCTAAGGCCAATGCATATTCTTGGGTTAATGCTAAGGCTAACCTTTATTTACACCTTCACCAGTTAAGGCCAATGCATATTGTCATCACTTCAGTCAATGAAATAAATTTTGCCATGTTGAATTAATCATGTTGAAACACAGTAAGCATTATCATTACCAGTCCTAGATGCACAAACAAGTCTATCTTGAGATAGGGCTTTCACATAACAACTGGGTTTACACTCTCTTAACCATATTTATTGCCCTAAGAGTATTTCATGCACTCTAAACACGTACATACATCCAAACACCTAATAATTGTTCAAAAGTCTCTTCCATCCCTTATTGTACTGAATACTATCAGGTTGTCCCAAATGTGCCCGAAACCTGGCACAGATTTAACACAAAATAGTTTCTTTAGAAAGCCATTTGTGTGGGTTTAAACTTATTTTAGCCTTCAATCTATCTACGTATATATAAAACAGAATGTCTGTCTCTCTCCAGGATTAGAGGTCACACGCTTGGGGCTAGCCACAGTCCACTTTCCAAGACGACACTAAAGGGGTATAGGAGTATCATAGGCCAGTCGGGATTGACCCCAGTGTCACATTTAAAAATATTAATATCAATAGTGACCTCACTGCAATTTTCATGAAGTCTGAAATACAGGTTGTGCTTTCCACTGAGTTATTTAGCACTTTTTTCAGTGGTTTGTAATATTAAATATTCTGAGAGATGGGGAGAGGGGGAGATAGGGAAGAAGAGAGCAGAAGAGGCGACAGGGAAGGAGAGGTGGATGGAATGATAAGGAAGGAGAGAGGGGGATGTGATAGGGAAGGAAGTGGGGGAAGGGCGAGATAAACAAGGAGAGGGGGGGGAGTCGCAGAAAGGTGGAGAGAGGAGGAGGAGAAAGGTCGAGAGAGGAGGAGGAGAAAGGTGGAGAGAGGAGGAGGAGAAAGGTGGAGAGAGGAGGAGGAGAAAGGTGGAGAGAGGAGGAGGAGAAAGGTGGAGAGAGGAGGAAGAGAAAGGTGGAGAGAGGAGGAAGAAAAAGGTGGAGAGAGGAGGAGGAGAAAGGTGGAGAGAGGAGGAGGAGAAAGGTAGAGAGGGGAGGATGGTAGAAGGGGGTGAAGAGTGGAGGAGGAAAGAAAGGGGAATATGGGAGAGAGAGAGAGAAAGGTGGAGAGGGGGAAAAAGAGGGGGGGGGATAGGGGAAGGGTGAAGGAGGGGGAGATTGGAAAATAGGGGGAGATTAGGAGAGAGAGAGAGGAGAGGGGGAGATGACCACATCACATTGACCATGAAGGACTCCTGATCCGACAGCCCCAAATCCAGGAGAGGTGGATCAGTCGACCAACTACCCCTCAGGAGGTTGACCCAGAAAGGCCAGAAATCTTGGGACCACGAGTGCTAAAATAGACTAGAACTACCAAAAAAAAAAAAAAAAACACCTGGTGTGAATAACAGTCCCCTGTTGCTTGTGCATCTGTGAGTGGGGGCCACAGATTCTAACTCTGGTCAACAGTAGGCAACCCGTTCTCGCAAATTCGTAAAGTCAATATTGACTTATTAACTACGTGCATAGGTGATATACTAAACATAATAGATACCCTTAAAAAGATTCATAGAAAACACCGACCTTACCTAACCTTGTTAGTATCTTAAGATAAGCATCTTATTGCTTCGTAATTACAATTATTACTTAACCTATACCTATTATAGGTTAGGTAATAATTGTAATTACGAAGCAATAAGATGCTTATCTTAACATACTAAGTAGGTTAGGCAAGGTCGGTGTTTTCTATGAATCTTTTTAAGGGTATCTATTATGTTAAGTATGTCACCTATGCACATATTTATTAAGTCAAAATTGACTTATTAAATTTGCGAGAACGGGTTGCAGTAGGCCAACCAGGATCTGATGTGACCCCCGCGGTGAGGAACCATTTTAGCAAAATAGCTTAAGGGTGCCCCCAAGGGACGCCTCGCAGAAAATATCAATGAATAACTTAAGAGCTGTCTAATTTCTTTCAAATAAAGCTCATAATAAGGCTAATAATCTAGGCTTTCTAATAGAAATAAAAACAATATTGAAAACAAATTATTCAGGGGGACTTTTCAAGTTTTCTAGGAACCGTATTTATTAAAGAAATAGTTAAGTTTTATACACTACTGTCTAAATTTTGTAGGAGCCAAACAGGAAAAGAAAATCCCAGAACCTCCACCAAAAGCAGAAAAGCATGAAACCTGGCCAGTTACTTGGGCCAGTGAAAGGAAGACATTCCTGGTTTGTATTAATACAACATTATACAAAATCTTAAAAAGGTACATACTAAATGCAAAGAAGGAAGATGATCAGTGTTTTTCATTGCCCGACAAGATTAATAATTATTAAACTGACATAATATAACATTAATTTACCAACTTAATTTGATAACATTAATTATTAGATATATTAAAGTGATTTATGTACTGTAGTGTGATACATTATTAACCAAAGCTAAGCGCAGCAAACAAAAACACTGCTTAGCACTGCAAATAAAATAAAGCATAGCAAAATTATCATCAAGGAAATAGCAACTAAAACCAAAGCTAATATTATTCATTTTTTATTCTTCTAAAATGATTTATGGCATAAACATTGAAAAGAAGCATTGTATACCTGAATGCTCTTGAACAGCTTATTTATTTAGATTTCAGAATTGCTTCAGAGAATGGGGTATCACAAATCCCGATTAAACAGAGAAAATATGTAAAACCAAGGAAGTGGTAGAGTGGCAATGATAAACAATCATCCCACCAGATGGCAGCTCAGGTCCCCTAGAGGTTCAGCTGGCACTTAGCCCGCAAGATACACCCTATCCCAAAAGGAAAGAACTACAGTACATGGTAGGCAGAAAAAAAGAGTGTTCCATTATATTCAATGCCTGATTTCTAAGCTGGACTTTCTTCAGTAGGATCCCCAGTGCACATTCACAATGGTACTCCAGTGATAAAAAGTGTTTTGTTCAAAAAAACAGCCAGAAATAGCTTACCCATGGAGGAGGAAGCAGAAGACCATGGCTTGAACAAGAAGCAGAGTAATGGCTAGAAAGATGCCTGAGTACTGCACAAGCTCAGTGAGGACATGGAACATCCAACCGGATATGTGCAGCTAATATTTGGCTATATCATCGAAAATGATATAGAAAGAAAGAGATCCAGGCATGGTTCTGCATAGTAAACTGTCAGCAGAGGACCACAAAGAACATTGTATGAGGTGCCTATGCTATGCTTTCTAACTTCAAAATCACTTTTAAATATATGGCCAGTGAAATATTAAAAGAAATTGTTCATGACTTTTGCGAGACCAAAATTGAAACACACTATACACATTACTAAACTGGGAGAAAAGGAGATATGATCACCACATACAAAACAGTAACAGGAATTGACAAAATTGACAAAGAGGAATTCTTGAAAACTGCAACTTCAAAAACAAATGGGCATAGATCTATGCTTCCATAGCCAATGAAACGCAGATGCTGAATAAATATTATGAAATTCTCTTTTGCAAACAAGAGTGGCTGACAGTTGGAACAAGTGAGAAGGTAGTGGATGCCAAAAGTCAGTATCATACATACAATAAAGAGTACTGGGACGGCGGAACACCATAACCATAGCTCTCATCCTGTAACTACACTTAGATAATTACACTCGAGCTAATTACTCCCCATATCACAACCAAATATAACGTCCCCGGATGATGGAGCTCACAGAGGCATCAATGACTCGTGCCCAGGGTGAGGACTCCATCCCAGTGACCTGGCCTCTCAGGGCTCAACTCCTAAACACCACCAAACCTTGACAGAATGGAAAGAAGACATATGGGCAGAAGTATCTAGGTCTGATAATGTATCTGCTGTATTATAGGTGACTAATTTGACTAGAATAAACTGGACCAATAAATCAGGGAATGTAAAGGCATAAGAAATTTTAGAAATGGTTGATGATTGTTTTCTTAAACAATACATCATGGAGCCAACACAGGGGAAATAATATATTAGATTTGGTGCTGGCAAACAGTTAGATACTACAAAAATAAGTAATATTGAAATAGGGAGCATATTAGGGAACAGTGATCATAAGGATATCAGGTTAAATATAGCATGGAAAAGTTCTAAAAGAAAAAAAATGCTATTAGAGTACCCAGTTTTCTCTGGGCAAATTATAAAGACCTTGGAGAGAGTAGATTCAACACACCTAAACATGAGTGGCAGGTGACATGTAATTCAAGAATATTCGTCACTTATGTTAATCTACCAGGTCTTGGTATTGGAAACTGTTTACAATATATTTAAATACATCTCAATCTGGTACACCAAACTAAACATATTTCAGGTTCTATTCCACCAGATTTCAGATAACTTGGTCTTATAAATTCAGAAAAAATGCTATAAGTAACAGATGACTGGTCCTAGAATTATTAAATTGTATAGCACACAATGAAAGACTTCACACACTTCCAAAGTTACTCAAACTGCAGCTGCATTAGCAATCAGTGATGCAGCCACATATGAATTTATATTACAAAACCCTGAGACCTATAATCATTTTTATTTAACATCCAGTTTAATCCAGGGTGCAATCTTGCAGGACAAATTTCTACTGACAGTGCTGGAGAAATGTACAGAACTGTACTGTACTTCAAAGAAGAATAGGCCTACTTTGCATAAAGTAAATGTGATAGACAAGCAAATTGAAAAAGGGAGATAAAAGAAATGCATATAGTGGTGTGGCTGCACAAAGTGAGTAAATATTATTGTAGCCTTGAGTGAATGTATTTTAAGTATAACACTGAGGTCTCAATAGTCTTAACAATTGTTAAAAAAAAACTTTTCTTTAATAACTCAATTTATGGAATTTACTAAGCTACATAGCATTTTGGATCATGCTAATACATTAACAGTATTGTCATTTTTTTTGTATTTTAATATATACAAAATTGTTAACAGCAGACCATAATGTTATACCCAATATACTCCCAATCACAGCAGCAATTAGTTACACCACCCAAAGCCTTGCAACCTGCAACTTCATCTATATGACAATCTTACATTCAACTGGCTCCCATCTTTAACGGCCTCAAGCCACTGATCCGTAGCTGACTTCTGTAAAGTAAGTGGGTGAGTTTTAGTATGCGAGCTTAGATGAACTCCACCAGTTAGCACACCTCCTCAAAGTAACTCTGCAGGCTACTCAACACCTGCGTAGCAAGTAGCAGCAGTCACACCTGCTACTTTTCATATCCTTAACCTCTTTCATAAATAATCTGGAACAAATCATTTTATATCAATATTAGTTTCCCCTAAAAATCCCAAGTACTGTAAATAAAATTTTTGCTGTAAAAACAAAAAATAAACACAAACACACTGCAGAAAGTTTTATATTTACCAAAATACTGTGTAACAAAATTCTATCTCTCATTTATACAATCTTTTTCAAAACACAAAATATTTATTTTCAATCATGCATTCTTTTTTACATAGGCTAGCCCTTTGATATCACTTATTCAACACAGTTCAGAGACGACCAGCCACACACCCGGAAACGACCGGGCACACAACCGGAACCGACCAGGCACACACCCGGAAACGACCGGGCACACAACCATGAGACTTTTTTGTGCACTGGTTACAGTATAAGATCTCAATTTTTTCAACTATTAATTGGTTGAAAATTGCTGGAAAAAATTAGGCGTAAATTTGTTAATCACGAGGATTCCCTTAGTTAAGTCATGTTATACATCTTTTACTAATTTATATCCTCAAGATGTAAACAAATAGCTTTTTATAAAAAAAAATATTTTTTTTTCTTTTATATTGCAGAACTATATGCTGTAATGTGTGTACATATGTAAAAGTGTGTTTACTAAAATTTTCAATATAAGACATGAAATTTTGTAAAACTGAGAACATTTAAAAAATATGGAATGTATGAAACTAAGTTTGGATTTTGGAGGTTGCACTACATCGCCTACACTACACTAATACGACCCCAGCTTTACTACCGTCTCAAACCCATAATATCAAAATCAGGAAATGATTACACCTGAAATCAAGGCTCGGCAGGACTAGCCACAAAGAGTGTCAAGTCCCCCCCCCCATTTAACACCTCGTTCCTATTTTGATAATACAGACCTAATACAACCTTATCTAACCTCCCCTAACCCTTAGCTAACGCAACTCATACGTGTTGTATATCGTGGCTAGTATATAGGAGTTAGGAATGGGGTCGACTCGGGTTGGCCTCGATTCACACTTTCCCACCCACACCATAACCTGTCAATCACTTCACTCAACACGTTATGAATCCCTAAATCACATATTGTTTTTACTTGTATTATTCTCGAACATGACCTTTCTTGAATACATGATCTGTAGGAGAGTTGCCGTCAAGGGCGGCCACACTGCCAGCTGTCAAAACATGAACCAAAACATTGTGGCAGGGACCTGTGGTGGACATATTTGGCTGCCACAGTCCTTGTCTACCTGCGTCAGCTGCTGCACAGACTGTTGAACAGACACTGGCAATCTTAATGATGTCTGCTGCACTTCCTCCGTAATTTTGTCCCGCAATTTCTTTAACATATTGGCAAAATACGGCGAAATTCACACATATTTCACACTAATCTTTTTGGTCTTCCATTGGTCGGTTGGATTCCGAACTGAAGCCCATTGTCTCCTACTTGACACGCGTATAATATTATTCTGTTATATCATATATTTTACATTTACAATTACTTTCTTTAACCTGTTACATGATCGCTAGCATAATATATCAACACACTCTTGAAGAAAATATATTCTTGCTTTGACATAATAAGCATTCTCATATTTCATCAATATGAACAATTCAGTAATTGATTTATTTAAAACACAAGAATTTAAGTTGTATAACAATGTTTGAAATGTTTGGTATGTAGATTACGTTCTTCTGTGGAAACTAACACTCGTATAGCGTCCTGAACGTCTCAAAACTAACATTAGTTGAGGAATAGCAAGAATTAGAGAAAACTATATTAATTAACCTGAATTTACCTGAGGGCCACTAACACACTAGTGTTCTCGACGATGACAGGAAGCCGTCGGCTTGTTAAAGGCCCCTCTCCACTCCCCATTTGCCCTGATGATCTTTTCCAATTGGATTTTAAAGCTTAACAGAGTTTTTTTTTGTATTTACAGCTTCAGCGGGTAAGCGGTTCCATGGGTTAACCCAAATTCACCCTGTGGGTGAAAATGCATCTCCAGTTCTCAGTCGTATATTGTGGCTAGTTGAGATTGTGACGAGAATCTGGAATAGAGTAGTGGCCATTCTGGCAGGTCTTGTGCCAATCGTACATTAATAAAGAAAAGTAAAGCATAAATAAATAAATAAGATTTCTCTGGTGATGGTCTGGTTGTGGGAAGAGATTATATGTTCCTTAATGGAGCCCTGTTGCTTATGCATCGTTAATCGCCTGGAAAGAGATGTTGTTGTCTTGCCTATATACTGAGTTCTTTGAGGCTTACAGTCCCCAAGTGGGCATTTGAAGGCATAGACGACATTGGTCTCTTTCAAAGCGTTCTGCTTTGTGTCTGGAGAGTTTCTCATGAGTAGGCTGGCCGTTTTCTTGGTTTTATAGTAAATCGTCAATTGTATCTTCTGATTTTTGTCTGTAGGAATAACGTTTCTATTAACAATATCTTTCAGGACCCTTTCCTCTGTTTTATGAGCTGTGGAAAAGAAGTTCCTGTAAAATAGTCTAATAGGGGGTACAGGTGTTGTGTTAGTTGTCTCTTCAGAGGCCTGGCCAGGGCCGCCAGCAGCCCTTGGGCCCGCCCCAGCAGCTCCCAGTCTTTAATTTGGCACCTTTGTGGCACCTTGGTATACGCCTAACATGTATGTATACACTGGCTGCCTGTCCCCCTACACAATGAGTTATTATTACCTATTATTTTATCATTTAATTTAAATATTAAATAAAATAATTTATTTAATTATTATAGTAAGTACTTAATAATTTAATAATAAGTAGTAAGTACAGCACATAAAAATCATTAAAAAGTACAGTTTAGTCATAGGAGATTCCCAGATTGGAATTCACTACCAAATTTCGATATATCCAAGTATTTTTAGTGTGAAATGCTGTTATTATATGCATAAATTGTTGTTTTAATAATATTATGCTTAAGCACTTGGACTGGACGGTAGAGCGAACGGTCTCGTTTCCTACAGGTCCGCGTTCAATTCCTGACCGCCCAAGAGGTTGGGCACCATTCCTTTCCCCCGTTCCATCCCAAATCCGTATCCTGATCCCTTCCGAGTGCTATATAGTCGTAATGGCTTGGCGCTTTCACTTGATAGTTCCCCCACCCCCTGAATAATATTACGAGAGCAGTATTTACGGGCTATTCATGCCCGTGCCACCTCTTGGGTGGCTTAATCTTCATCAATCGAGAGCAGTACGTCCTAACCAGACGTTATATGATGATATCCTGAACAGTTGATAAATAAAAGTAATTGCGGAACTCCAGTTATCTAATACTTATCATAAATGGTATAAAACCTTATCATAAGCCAAGGGATTTGTAGATCAGTGTTTAAAGGGAATTCGGAAGTAATAATAATACAGCTGATGCCATCTGTCGGCAGAAGAGAACACTATCAACTGGCTGGTCAATAATGGCCATAAGATACAGCTTACGCCATCTGTTGACATCAAATTACACTTATAACAAATTACCCCACAAAATACCACTAACGCCATCTAGTTTTTTTCCAACGCACTATAAATAGCCAAACAGCAACCCATAAGGCGGGTTGTTGTGCTCGGGTAGGAGGTTCCAAGCTCCGCCCACAGATGGTATGTGGTGCATAATAAATGGCATATCATTGGTAGATATTCTTTGTTGACATTCACACAACAGCCAATCACAGAAAGGGATCAGCTAAAGGCTCCATCCATTTAATAAATCATCTTTATTCAGCACACCATCCTTGCTTATGACATGCTGCTTGAACTTTAATCTACCTAAAAAGTGAAATGTTAAGTATTTAAAAGTAATAATATAGTGATAATTAAATACTGCAGGATGTAACGAGTGTTACAGAAACATGGGCTGGCTACCTATCTTGTGACGTCATCAGTGAGGGTTGCCTTACACAAATAATATCGGCGATACAATGCCTCCGCCCTCTTATTGGTCTACATTATTCAGTTACATGGAAATTTCTGTCTTGTATAACACAGAAATTGTTGTTCATTTGTACAACAACAAGGTTATTGAGCAAATAAAGGACGTATTTCTTATTTTGTACTTTATTCATATAAGCGTTGGCATTCCCCGCAACAGCCAATCACAGGAAGGGATCAGCTTAAGGCTCCATCCATTTAATAAATCATCTTTATTCAGCACACCATCCTTGCTTATGACATTCTGCTTCAACTTTAATTTACCTAAAAAGTGAAATGTTAAGTATTTAAAAGTATTAATATAGTGATAATTAAATACTGCAGGATGTAACGGGTGTTACAGAAACATGGGCTGGCTACCTAACTTGTGACGTCATCAGTGGGGGTTGCCTCACACAAATAATGATACACTGCTCTGCCCTCTTATTCGAGTAAATTATTCAGTTAGATGGAGATTTCTGTCAGGTGCAAAACAGAAATTGTTGTTCTTTTTCACAACAACCTTGTTGTTGTGCACAAGGACCTATTTCTTAGTTTAAATTTTATTCATAAAAGAGTGTTGGTATTCCCCGCAACAGCCAATCACAGGAAGGTATTTCTGGAAGCTCGGCCTCCTTATGGACTCAGCACATCGCTCTAGCTCATGGCTCTCTGTTTCATCTCTTGTATATACAAACTATGACTTTTTTCGATTACTGTTATAATTAATAATATGAGATATAAAAGTTTTTACACAAAATGGCTAAATTCTGCCATTAAATGGACTTTGTCTGGTATACATACAAACATACACCAATTTATTACCATTCATCCATTATTAATTTCAAATGTAATGTATACTGTCTAGTTTTTTCCTCTCGCCATTACTTGGTGCAATATTTGAAAGTTGTCTATTTATTTATCGATCTATCTATTATCTTGTATTTATATTTACAAGTTTCTGTGCTTGGAAGAAAACTCTGCATTGAATTGGGACTAATTTATTAAATAATATTATTTAGTATTAATTAATATTTACAATTATTATTAATTACAATTATTTATAGCTTAGTTACTTTCATGTAACTCGCAATCGTACATTCTTAACATTAATAGCCCAAATTAGCACATCTTGCTTTTAAATTAGCCCAAAAAGTAGCAAGTAGCGAAATTAAAAATTTGGGAGCGCGGGGCTCTCAAAAGTAGCCCAATTCGCTATTTGTAGCCCAATCTGGCAACACTGTTGTATTGCCCGGTGTTGCACTTTCTCTACAGCAGCTATGTAATTCTGGAGATGTGGTCTCCATGCTTGGATACAGTAATCCAAATGGGGGCGCACCAGAGATATATATATAAGTGAATCACGATGACCAAACCACACACTAGAATGTGAAGGGACGACCACGTTTCGGGTCCGTCCTGGACCATTCTCAAGTCGATCCACAATCGACTTGAGAATGGTCCAGGACGGACCGAAACGTCGTCGTCCCTTCACCTTCTAGTGTGTGGTCTGGTCATCATACTTTAGCCACGTTATTGTGACTCATCGCCTGCATAAGTGAATCACTACCTTCATAACCTTATATACAAAGGTACGCTTGCTTATTCCAAGGGATTGGTTAACTTTTTTGACAGCTGCCTCTACCTGCTGTGCAACATTCATCGAGTGATAGATTTTGACTCCAATGCCCTTTTCTTCATTAATCTGCTATAATGTAATGCCATAAATTTGGTAGTTGTAGTGTGGGTTGTTGTGCCCCGCATGCAGGGTCTTGCATTTCTCAATATTAAAAAACATTTGAAGATAAAGATGATCATACCCAACGAACATTGCTAAAGATGGTTATACCTAAGTATTAAGCGTTCCCAATCACATGGTAAACTCTAATTGAAGATCAAACCATACAGTTGGAGTTAAACAACTGACAGGTCCCAGATTATTCCCGTAGTAAGTCAAAGACTATTGAATACTTTTACTGTCACGTGCCTATGTTCGTCTAGCTGTAAATACGTACCTATGAGTTACGCAACTGTTGTGGGTTGCATCCTGAGGAAGGTCAGTATGCAGGCGATGGGTACAATAAGCCTATGTTAAGGCTTCTTGTCCCTCACAAGGGTAAACTAATCGCTGGTGTGTCTAAAGCTGAGTTAGTACAGGGTTCGGTTAATGGAAGCTAAACAGTTATCTACAAGGGAGGATGTATATAGAGCGGGAGCCTTATTGGAAGATTATAATGTTATATTAGGTCTGGTGTTGGCAGTGGCTGGTGCCAGGCTGCAGTGTTATCAACAGGTGTCTACATATCTGGCTCACAGTGTATTGGGAGTATGTTTAATGCTCTCAACTCAAATTACAAATATTCAGTTGTAATATTATAGTTATATTCACCTAGTTGTTCTTGCGGGGGTTGAGCTCTGTCTCTTTGGTCCCGCCTCTCAACTGTCAAGCAAAAAACTTTTCAAGTCAGGTTTAAGATAAAAACCTGGCAGTAATAGTCAGTCCAACGGG